TTCTCAAAATATTTTAGTAAAAACTTGTATTATTACTGAATATATTGTTATTGTGATGCATATGAATGAAAATGACTAAATATTGTCATTAATTCCTTCCTTCCTCTTCTTCTTCTTCTTCTTCTTCTTCTTCGCTCTGGGAATCTGGCAGCCCATAGAACCGCTTGCGGGAAAGTTAGGATGTTTGGCACACATATAGAAGACAGTCTCAACATTAACCATAGCTAGTTTGGAGTCTCTAACACAAACCCTCTAGCGCCACCATCTGCTCAAAGTTGTACTCATATTTATGCTAATAACAGTTGAACCACACGGGCTAGAAACAAAATTCTATTTTCTTCTGATTCCTAAGACAATTCAATATAAAAAAATCGACAAGCTCATCTTCAGACCATGCTAAAAAAAGCTGTGGAATTAAAGTTGATTAGTCAAAGCGTTCCTGAATAACGCACGAGTGAATTCGACGAAGAGCACACCAAAGTGGATGTGAGGCTATATCTCCATAACGCTTTAGCACATTCAAACCAAACTTGGTGTGTGTTATAATAACCAGGACCTGAGGTTACCTGCACAGTTTGTTTCCTCATGGGGACCTCAAAAATGTCCCCACAAGGTCAAAATTTACTAGTATTACTATCCTTGTGGGGACATTTGGTCCCCATAACGTGATAAATACCAGGTACACACACACACACACACACACACACACACACTCACTCACACACACGCTCACACACATAAAACTTATAATTTCAGTGTTATTTTCGTAGCATGAACAGCTATTCAGATTTGAGTTTGGTTTTATTTTTATAGTTTCCATTTCCATTTTTTTTTTTAAGTTAACATCTATTTTATTTAAGTAACAATAATACTTTTATGGTTTTAGTCTTAATTTATGTGATGATAATCCTGATATTTTCATTGTACTTGCATTGTTCATCACATCACCGTTATTTTTTATTTTTATTGTTTTAAACATAAACAGAACATTTTGTTGAATGTATGCTTGCATGCGGGACAGTGGCTAAGAAAAATAAACGCAATTCAATATACTAAAAAACTTGAGTACTATATATATTTAGACATTCTACTCATTTGACATACCACTTTTTCCATACTGTGCAGCTGGGAAGATTGGACACGGGATGTTTTAAATGGCAGACTGCATGTACTTATTAGTTCATGAGAGGGTGAAATAGCACAAGTGTGTGTGTCATAAAGATTTAATGAGAGAGCGTTCAGTGAGTGTGACTCTAATGCAGAACATCATGCATGATTTATAATCTTTAAACCCTCTTATTTCACATTTTTCAATTATCTGAGAAGGTTTGTGAGGTCGCAGAAAAGCATCCATCGATGTCCAGGTAACGAGAGCGTTTGTGTGTGTCTTTCAGATCGCCTGCGCCGTCTTTGCGGCTCTGCTGCATTTCTTCTTCCTGTCTGCGTTCACGTGGATGTTTCTGGAAGGCGTTCAGCTCTACATCATGCTGGTCCTGGCCGGATACGGCATTCCTGCGCTCATCGTGGCCGTTTCTGCCGCAGTGGATTACCGCAGTTATGGGACAGACAGAGTGTGAGTCTCACACACACAAATACACTCAAATCTGGGTCTTGCTGGGATATGTGTGTGTGTGTGTGTGGTCGCAGGAGGGTTGAAGTTTAGTCTAATGTTGCGGAAATTAAAGTCTGAATAATTGAAAGAACTCTCATGTATCAGCCAAAAGACACAAGAACCTTGGAGACGACCTGCAGTATTACTTCCTGTGTGTGTGTGTGTGTGTGTGTGTGTGTGTGTGTGTGTGTGTGTGTGTCTGTGTGTGCACGTTAATTTGATGCTTGAGTGATGTGTTTTTGTCTCATTTTCAGGTGCTGGTTGCGGTTGGATACTTATTTCATCTGGAGTTTTATAGGCCCCGCCACACTCATCATCATGGTAACCAGCTCTGATACTGCCTATAACCTACATTTAAAACACTCAGTCTACATCCTGGTCTCCTCGCGTGTGAATCCTAAACCAATCATGTGCTTCCGTTCTTCCCAGCTGAATGTGATCTTCCTGGGAATCGCTCTCTACAAGATGTTTCACCACACCGCCATCCTGAAGCCAGATTCTGGTTGCCTTGACAACATCAAGTAAGCCTGACAGTGAGGGGTGGGGCCTGTTGAATGGGCTCTCTGTGGGTGGAGCTTGTGGAGGGGTGGAGCCTGTGAGATGGGCTCTCTGTGGGTGGAACTTGTTGAGGGTGTGGCCTGTGAGATGGGCTATATGTGGGTGGAGCTTGTGGAGGGTTGGGGGCTTTGGGGAGGAGCCTCTGAAAGGTGGGCCTGTGGTGGATGGGGTCTTTGAGATGTCTAACGATTATTTTACCGTTCATCATTCCTCCAGTGATGGCTAATAATCAGATTTTGTGTTGTGGGGTGCCATATGCATTGCTCTCGAAATGCATCAGGACTAGGAATCAGCGTTTATGCTACAAATGTAATATGATGTCCAAATGTGCAACTGGTGATCATATAACAAAACATTTTAGACCACATTTTCACCTACTTTTCGCTCAGATCAGTTGAGTTGCTCAGTTTGTTCGAGTAGGGGACAAGTAATGGGACAGAAAAGTGGTAGGAATGTTGTGTTTGGGAAACCTGTTTGGAAACAGCCATTATGCTGCTCTCTTTTATGGCTCTAATCGTGCAGAAATGACACACTTCACGCATATAAACAGGCGTTTAAGCGGCCCATTGAACATCTACAGAGGAACCCACATGGCTCATTTTTCATATTGTTGTTGTAGGTTGAGGTGAAAGTAAAACTGGCACAGGTATCCCACATTGTGCGTGTGTATCCGTCTGTGTATTCAGTGGGGAGGTTATCGTTACCTGAAGATCTGTGTTATTTCACAAGAAAGAGCAGCAGACATTCTGCCCAAATTAACCTCCGCATGCACATGAATATTCATCACCGGAGCCACACAGCAGCCACTCAGGAGAGCAGAGCGCTGAAAGGACTATAAATATGCAAATTTATGGCTGTCCCCTCAGATCCAGCATAGAGAGCAGGACAGTGAGATGATGTGTGTGTGTCCAGTTGTTCATGTGTGTGCCTTTGTATCCGTGATGCATGCTAATCAGACGGTTTGAGTCAATGATCTTGTAGCATCACTGCTGTGGATGAGGCCATATTTCACAGTGCATCACCGCATGTTAAAGGGCCAAAATATTTTTAATATGGAGTGTGTTTTTCACAAGGGAGTAAACTGATGATGTAGAGACTGATTCGATTATGTTTTTTTTTGTTGTTTGCAACGTTTTATGAGATTGAACGATCACTGTTACTCTGCTGTCAATAGTCCCAGAGTGACAGCTTCTCTGATTGGTGGATCCTGCTTGAGGATTATGGGTAGTGTAGTGTGTAGTTCTCAATCTTCAGTTTTGTTATCTCTTGTCTCGAGAGGTTTATATGTTATTGCTGAATCACTTTCTCTGTGGAAGAAACAAATGGGACTTTTACTTCCAGAGCCCTGCTGCTGCTGCTGTGCTCTATTATGAAGAAATATATAGAAATATTTCTCGATATTCATTTTGAAGGGGACCGTATAAAACCGAAAGACAACAGCAGAGGTGGTGAGTTAATTAATTCACGAGCAAGGGTCTTATTACAGCCACACATCTCCTCCCTCCATGGCGTCTGAGATTAAATGGGATAATTCTTGTAATCAGACGTTCTATTCATGCTAATAATGAGATAATGACAGTGTCTTGTTAGTAGTTTTCATACTTGGCTGTATCAGTTTAATCTGTAGAGTGCGTTTATTTGTTGATGTTCGACACCAAAATCTCATATCATGGTATGAGTAATTCTATATTATATATAACGGTATCACAAACTACACAATGTTTTTGAAATAAGTCTCTTCTGCTCACCAAGTCTGCATTTATTTGATCAAAAATACAGTAAAAACAGTGAAATATTATTACAATTTAAAATAACAGTTTTCTATGTGAATATATTGTAAAATGTAATTTATTTCTGTGAACAAACCTGAATTTTCAGCATCATTACTTCAGTCTTCAGTGTCACATGATCTTCAGAAATCATTCTAATATGCTGATTTGCTGCTCAAGAAACATTTCTGATTATTATCAATGATGAAAACAGTTGTGCTGCTGAATATATTCGTGGAAGCCGTGCTACATTTTATTTTTTTAGGATTTTTGATGAACAGAAATGTCAAAAGAACAGCATTTATTTGAAATAGAAATCTTTTGTCACATTATAAATGTCTTTATTGTCACTTTTGATCAATTTAATGCACTTTTTGAAATAAAAGTTTTAATTTCTTTCAAAAAAGCATCGCCTCTAGGAGGGTGTTGATATGTCAAGTGATTGACAGGTGGCGGCTGGTATTGATAATTAAGTGGGCGGGGCACTGTTCCTCAAGGGACATTTTATTGGCCAAACATTTAGCCACGCCCCTGTTAAGATGCTGATGCCATCTATATTTCTGGCCCACTTTCTCACCAGATGAGACAGACTGTAAATTATAAAAGTCTATATGTGCTGTTTTGTCCTCGTTTAAAGTGCCCTAGCAGAGCTCTGAACCTCAAGTGTTGTGTGGCGGCCACTGGACTCACACACAGAGAAATGAAGGCATATATCTGGATTTGTTGTGTGACAGAAGTGAGGCGTAGAGGTCGTGACCTCTGTGAGCGGAGCAGGGCGGCAGTAGGTTGGTTTGCGGTTAATAACTCGACCTCCCAAATAGCCTTATAAATCACATCACATGCTTTTAAATCTTTTTTATTTCTTAGACACAACTGTTATAAATCATATAACAGACAACAGCAGCAAACCTGAACAAACATGCTGCATGGCACTGTGGTGAACATAAATTAAAGAGATCGTTCACCCAAAAAATTTAATTTGGTTTTCATAGTCGTCCTTGTGTGGCACCAAACCTGTATGCTTTTCATTCTTCTGTATCTATCTACAAAATGTATACAAAATAAATGTTTTTTGTAGAAACAATGAAAGTCAATGGGGTCCAAAACAGCACTGGATTCTAATGACTTTTACTATATGGACAAAATACACTAAGACTAAAATATTGTCTTTTGAAAGAAAGTCAAGCAGTTTTGGAACAGCATGAGGGTGAATAAATTATGATATAGTTTTAATTTTTAACTAAACTCTCTCTTTTAAACATACATATATTAGTAGGTTCAACTTCAAACAATCTAAATCTACGAAACACGTGCTCATGTATCATAAGCTGCAAAGCCACTTTATCCTCTCATATCTTATTAATAATCATATATTTGTTTTCATCCAACAAGAGCTGAATAAACAAATAAAATAATATGAGATTAAGTATTTTTTCATTTGTAAATTATTCAATTGACTGGATTACCCAAAATAGACATTATTGCATGGACATCTAATAAAGGAAGGAAGGAAGGAATTTAAAAGTCTGTGATATGTATAGAAATGAAAAAGATATATGTGTATGGAAAAACAAAATGCTTGTAAAACAAGTTCAAGGTCTTCTGAATGGTTTAAGTTGCCATTGTCATTGCTACTTTTTAAGATTAATTTCATTTAATTGTTGTTGCACTTTTCAAAAGAGTTATTTACTGTGTCTGTTTTATTTTTCCATTGATCTGTGCTTGTTTTCTGCTGATGTTTGTCCAGCTATCGCTATTATGACAGCTGTGTCGTAGTGGAGTGGCACTGGTAAGATCAGCCTGTTTCTCCACCTGTCATCTGTCCTTCTGGAGGTCATTGAACCTGCCCACCTCCCCCTGTGTTTGATGTGTGTGTGTGTGTGTGTACATACGTGTGTGTGTGTGTGTGTGTGTGTGTGTGTTAATACTTCATTGGCAATGTGGAACAATGGCGAATTCTCAGTTTTTTATTTTTTCTTTCTTTCTTTCCTGTTTGTTTGTTTGTTTACAAAAATACTAGCTGTTTTACTTAATACATGAGCAAGTACTTACAGATAATTAAATGCTCAAAACTTAAAATATTCCACACAACCACGTTTACAGGATAATACAGTACTTAATACAACATATTTTACCGTTTAAAGATGTATACAATATTTCTTACATTTAAACTCGCATTTTAGAAGTAAAAATTAAACATTTAGTTGTCACGAAAAGACAGATACGTCTCGTTTAGTTGACTGACATTGTGTCCCTTTAGTTTGCTTTACATAAAATAAAATGATTTACAGCAAAGAAACGGTTTTATAGATTAAATAAAATGGCGGCACTGAGAACTACTCTCACCTGAAGAGGACGCAAAATATCCGTTGATTGAGTTGATTGACTGTCCTGTACCAGCAGCTGGGTTACACAAAAACTACCCAAACACTAAAAAAAATGTTTGGCTTGAAATTATATAACCCATGATTTTTTAGAGTACATGTGCACAATATAAAAGCAACTGATGCAAGTTGTTAATCACTTCAGTTGGTCCACCAGTGTGATTGCGCGAATGACCGGATCGTTCACCCCGCTTTGTTCCAGGACCTCGCAATTTACAAATTGAGCGCTGGGAATGATTTATAATTGTAGATCTGATCAGTATAATTTAACTATTCTTAAATATTTTAAATTAAACTTAACAACAATTATTACAATTTGTTAGTCAAATAATGTATTCATTTTTTTTGTGCAAGGAATAAATAAATAACAGATTACAAAGAAAAATAACTGTTGGATTTTTAGGCATTTATTTCGGTGTGTTCAACTCAAACTATCACTTAAAGGCAGTGTAGGTGATTTGGTTCAAAACCTTTTTTGTTATGCTGGTTAAAAGTCTTTTCACATCCTGATAGCAATCACTAAGTTAATGGTCTAAATGTATTTATATAATCTGTGGAAGGCGTAGGACCGTAAAATGTTCGTCAAATCATATTCCTCGGTCCGAGGGCTACGATAGGCGCAGACATGATACGTCATCAGCGCGTTACATTACGCTATTGCAGACCGAGCGAGAGCATTATTATTGTGATATTATGCACTTTGTAGTGTAATGTTTTCTCACCGGTGAATGAGACATGAGGTAATCTGATAGCGTTACATTCAACCCTCCACCAACGCTGTCTCTCATCATGTCGCTGGTTAGCCTCTGG